TAGGAATGCTTGCACTGGAAAACGATTTAGCGAGATCTTTAAATTTTGATGATGTGGTTGATGACTTTGCTAATAAAAAAAGTAGAAAAGTTCACTTGTGAATCACAACCGTCAAATGTTCATATTAATGGTTTCTAATGTTAAATAATGTTAATGTTAAACGTGGTTTAAATGTTTTTCATGTTTTTAGTTTTTTTTTAATTTTTATTTTATCACCATTTCTCTAAATAAATGTATGAAATAAACAGTTGGTAGGTTTTACGTGTTTGTAGGTAGTCTGCGTAAAAATATATTTATTATTATTATTATTATTATTTATATAACGTTCTTTAAACTAAATTTGTTTATATATATATATATATAATATATATATATATATATATATATATATGAGGGGCCCGGCGTGCATTCAAACTTGGGGCCCGGTTTGGCTCTCGGCGGCCCTGCACACGACGCACTCGAACATTACATTTGCACGCGCAAGCACCGCGTAGTACGTGTACGATGGTCTTTCAGTTTCGGACACAGCATTCTGAACATGACATCACGTAATAATAGCCAGGGAGAGGCCTATCAAGCATGATAATCTCAAATCGGCGTGGCTACATGAAACCAGAAAAAAAAGATATAAAATACTGTATGCTGAAATCTTATGCAAATGCATGAAATAAATCAATTAAAAAACAATCGATTAAGCAAAGTATGTTGTGACATTTCTAAGCAATATAAACATTCGTAAACGTTCTTCTTTCTTTTTTTCTCTCTCTTTCTCTCGCTTTTTCTCACGATGATGATATCATATCGCCAATGGTAATGGTCTCTGATTGTTACGATTCATATGATTTCAGACGAAAAACTAAATATGCTAAAATATTGCACAAATCCATGAAATAAAAATGTTAAACAATAATCAAAATAAATAAAACCTTTGAGAATTGAATAAAAATTATTAATAAACTATAAAAATTGTGCCATTTGATGACCTTATGAAAACGAAAAAATGACACCGAATCTTAAGAGCACTGAAAATATTATATTAACTGAAAAAATGTTATATGCTCAGTTTTATTCTATTTATGACTCAGACTGCGTAGAATATATGTAGAATAAAGTAGAAATAGTATTATAAAATAGTAATATAAAATGCAACAAATGCATTTGAATAAATATAATATTGCAATCTAACAAAGAAAATCACACAGCACCATTTATGTAGAATAAGCACTATTTTATAAAAATTATTAAAGCACTATCATAAAAAAAATTAACATTTTTTTGGTATCGGTTCTGTAATACCGTCAATTTTAGCTCATCTCCTGGTTCTGTTTCCGTCTTTTATTTGTATCGTTATTTACGTCTGTTGGCTATTTCTTCAATTTGTAAGCATGCCGACCTACTTCCAAAGACCGGAAAACGCTTTGAAAAGAGCAAACGGTTCGTTTAATTATTTAATTCAATACTTTTTTTATTTGACGTTTTTTTAATTTTTGTTTGTTCCACAATGTAGGTCGCACTTGATCATTCTTGTGAGCTGTATGTTATTGTTATGTTGATGTTCTATCTTGTTGGTGTTTCTACTTGCGGATCACGTCAGTCAGTCAATGTGGCCGTTGGTTGTGGTGTTTCTGGTTAAGTTGGCAAATTTTAATCTTTTAGTAAATAGTTTAAAAAAGTTTTCAATCAAATAACTAAGGTACTGGTAAATCATAAAAAATATGACCTCTTAGAGATTAAAAAATCTAACATAAATTAAATAATTCTATGAGCGTTATGATAATTTTAGAATGGTTAGATCTATGAGTCCGGCATGGCATGTCGTATGCAGGCAACTTAAAAATAGTTATAGGTTAGCGCATCACGGGTTGAGTAAATTAGGAAACTATATATTGGGCTCCTTAAACATAGAACAATAAAAAAGGAACAAGTGTCAAGCACATGACAAGCTTATGATATAATAAAGAAATTATTTATTGTATATCTAAATAATAAGTGATAATAAGCATTTTTTGTCTTATATGACAAAAAATTGTAAAACTAATGTAAAAATATATGGTAAAAAATTGTGGCTCATTTAAAAAAAAAAACGAAAATTATAAAGTGTAAGGATACAGCCTCCTATATTCTAAAAATTGTTGTGTAACAAGACACTGAATAGTACATTACATGTTCAAATCTATACATTAAGACGAGACAATTGTTTTTTCAAAATTGTTCGAAATCTCTAGCTTTTCTCACTAATTTATTTCAAAATAATCGTCTCAATTTTTACTTTAAATTGGATAACATGATATAAGATAATATAAGATGCAGGAGACGGATTTGAAATAGATGGCCATTGAGTTTAATGGTTTGAGTTAAACAGATAATAACCATTACACCATCGCGCCGCCCGGTAACCTTTGTGGCAGTTGTAAAGGATTGTTTTTAAAGCTTCACGTTTCAATCAACGAAATGATTTGTTTTAACGTTTTACTGTCATTTAGGTAATGATGATTATTATTGTAAAAAAAATTTGTGTTAGAAAAACTTTAAATGTCTTCAGTTGACAAAAGATTAGTGATGATAGCCGTAACGTTTTCTATCTGTCAAATTTTTATTTTTACTGCTAAAATAAATAAATAATATTATTTACAATTACAGAGTTCATTGATGTGGGCAAGAAGCAGAGAGCTCTCGATGCCCTCTATGATGTCATCAAAAGTAAAAAGCACAGAACATGGCAGAAGATCCACGAACCAATCATGGAAAAGTATTTGGAACTCTGTGTTGATTTAAAGAAAAGTCATATTGCAAAGGAAGGATTATACCAATACAAAAATATTTGCCAACAAGTGGGATGCTTAGATTACTAATTATTGCATAATTTTTTTATATTGCAGTCTTTTATGGGAAGATTTTATTCTCGTATTTACTTATAAAAATTTTAAAAAGTTTTCTATTTCGTAAATAGTAAACTTTTAAATTTACGCTTGAGAAAGTTTTAATTAATAATAAGAATATAAGGTTTCTAATATAAAAATGACATGTGGAAGCTTTAATGTTAACAGAATAAATAATGTAAATTGCAGAATTGAAATGATTAAGTGGTTCAGGTATTAGGTAATTCGTGCTTTCTGCATGAAATTCCTTCAAGTAAAAGATTTTTGCAACAAATTAAAAAAAACTATTTGTTCATCGTTAAGCATAGTTTTAAATCAATATAAAGAACCCAGTTTTTATTGAAGTCAATCTTTAGCTTTAATCTCTTCAGATGTTTTGATCATGGATTTTGGAAACATGTAAATAGCCAGATAGAACGTTGTTGCATGAGTAGCAGGTGATAATGAAACTTGTGACTATTAAAACTAACTAAAACTTAATAGCTGAAATTAGTAGATGACAGTAAAACATAATTGTAATAATTTATGAATAATTTAGAAAGAAGCAAAGTACATTTTTATCATTTCCTGTTTTTTAATATTCAGCTGGTAGGGAATAAAGAGAAACAAGTGAAAGTTTTAATATTAAATGTTTACATATGGATTTTTTTTATAATTAAACAGGTGAATACTAAATCTCTTGAAGATATAGTTAAGAGGTACTTGCTCCTTGCAGAAGAAAGGACCGAAAATGCCAAAAATGAATCACACCAACTGGTTGTGGATGTGGATGATTTGGACATACTTCAGACACCTGAAAAGTATTTTTAAAACTTTTTATAGCTTTCATTTCACGACTCTTTCTGGTGTTACATTGCTTCCAACATTGCTATTTTGCATTTTTGAGTTTCTAACACAGCATTATTAATTTTAATATGATATATACCTGTTACAATATTTTTTGGCTTATTTTTTAGTATTTATTTATTTATGTAAACTATTTTTCTCCGTTTTTTATCAGATTTGTTAGTGGTGAAAAAATAATAAGGACATCAAATAACAGTGAAAAAATAAATATTAATATCAAATTAAGAAAACTTTTATTATTTGCAACAAACCAATCAAAATATTTTATCAATCAATAAAAAAAACTTTAAACATTTTTAAAAATTGTATTGAACTGTAAACCTCAAAGTGTCCTGATGAGTGCTGTCAGTGGAGAAGATTCCCAAGACCGCAGTGATAGAGCAATTTTAACTCCATGGCTGAAATTTCTGTGGGAGTCGTATAGGCAGTGTTTAGATTTGCTCAGAAACAACTCTATCTTAGAAAAGTTGTATCAGGATGTCGCACAGAATGGTTAAAACTACGACAGCTTTTAATAATTTATTTATCAAAAAATTTAATTTGGCATTACCATTGTATATATTTTGTGTTCAACAGCATTCAAGTTTTGTCTCAAGTATAACAGGAAAACTGAATTTAGAAAGCTTTGTGAAAATGTGAGTTTAACAATTTCTTCAAAGAACTTGTCTAAAAACTAAACAATTTATTTCTTCAGCTGCGAACTCATTTGGGTCACATACACAAGAACCAAAATCAACAACGATCAATAAATTTGAACAATCCAGAAAGCCAGTCGATGCATTTAGAAACCAGATTAGCTCAGCTTGATAGTGCCATTCAGATGGAACTCTGGCAGGTTGTTGTCTTATACATACTTGGATTCATTGTAACTTCCCAATTGGATGTCTTCACTAATGTTTATTATATTCTATTTCACTTTTTTATTTACTTTTTGTTTTTTCCTTTTCAGTCTTGAATTATTTAATTATTTCTTCTGTTATTATTCCTTATATCTTCAATTATATTTTTTGTAAAACTTCATATATTAGCTGAAAGTTTGGGATAGATGTGTTTTGGAAAGCCTATCAAGTTTTATGGGCGTAAATTAACTTAAATTATATCTAGTTAATTGATCAAATATAATTAAATTGCAATTGAATAATTTCCCTAATGAGATTGTATCTTTAAATTTCATAATCAATCAATCTTTGTTTTGCGTCCAGAGACCCGGTTTCCCAAGGTAGGACGTTGTTTTCTTTGCCATCAACTTTTTGCGCCAAATTAGATGATCAGTTGTATCCATTTCATTTAAATTTAGAGTTTTCATGTCTTGCTCGATTGTTTGCGACCAGAACTTCTTTGGACGGCCTTTGGGACGTGTGCCAGGTACTTCAACATCTGCAAGAGAAGTTATGGCACTGTTTCCACTTCGTTTGACATGACCAAACCACCGCAGACGGTGTTGCCGGCATTCGTCCTTTATATCATCTAAACCAGCACGACTCAAGATTTCGGTAGATTTGATGTGGTCCTTCAGACTAATTCGTTGCATCCATCGGAGCATTTTCATGTCGGTTCGTTGAAGTTGTTGTTCCAGTTTGGTTGTCATTGGCCATGTTTTTGCACCATATAACAACACCGGACGTATCACAGATTTATAAAGTCTTGATCGTAGTGGTAGTGGGATGTCACGACGAATCAATATAGAGGCAAGGAGATGCCATTTATTCCAGGCTGCACGTATGCATGCTCGAACGGCAGCTTCAGCTGTTCCAGTACAATCCAGAACATTCCCTAGATATTGAAACGATGTGACTTTCTCTATTTTAATGGCTTCAAAAACAGTGCTTTTTCGAATTTGTTGTTGTGGATTGAAACAAGCAAGACAAACAAAATTGGACACTTTAGATAAAGTACCAATTATTTTTGAACAACGTTTGTGACACCACTGGTTACACTGCTGACACTTGATTGAATTGTTACTTACACCAGCTTTACAAACTGAACAGGGCCATCGTCCAATAGCTGTGGATTGGATGGGTTCACCAGTGTTCATTGCTTTGGTTTTGCTGATGTTGACTTTGAATCCATGATCGGTGAGTCTGGTGTTCCAATCTTCAAACATCTCTGCTGCATTCTGCTCAGACGTGGCTGTTAAAACGATATCATCAGCATATACTAGATTCCAAATGTCATTAGTGTGTATCGGTTTTGTGATTTCTTCCATCACAGTTATAAATAACAGTGGACTGAGAATCGAGCCTTGGTGAACTCCAACGCCGATGTCAAATGCATCTGTGTTTCCAACCGTTGTGCTGACAAGAGTCTTAGTATTCGTATACATTTCCATCACAAGTCGAACAAGATATTCTGGAATGAGTTCACGGGGAACTCGATCAAATGCTTTTTCAAGGTCTACAAAAATGTGTGATAGTAGTTGATGCTTTGCGAGGTACTTCTCTTGCAGTTGCCAAAGGATGTGAATTGCATCAATTGTTGATTTCCCCGCTAGGAAACCAAATTGATAATTTCCGATTGTGATGCACGACGTTAATCTCTCAATGATTTTCTCGACAATTTTCAGGGAGTGTTCTAACAGACGTATACCCCGATATGATGAACAGTTCAATGGATCACCTTTGTCTTTGTATAGCGGGACTGTCATGCTATAGTTCCCATTCAGTCGGCATTGAGCAATTTCTCCAAATTTCACGGCAAAGTTGTAGTAACGTTTGGATACCTGCAGTACCAGATGCTTTGATAATGTCATTTGTGAGTCCAGAGGGCCCTGCTGCCTTTCCATCCTTCATAGCTTTCAGAGCTTCTGTAAGCTCCTCTACAGTGATGTCTGGAATCGGACCTTCGATGGGTGGAGCGTCAAAGTTAACATTGATGGGATTTGTTTCGTTTAACAGACGGTTGAAGTATTCTCTCCACTGTAGCTTGATTTCATCTTGTTCAAGAACCATCTCATTTTTGTAGTTTTTGATGCATGAGGCACCAACTATGTCTTTTTTCGTACGCTTTGCTTGTTTTGCTATACGATACAGAGATTTCATTTGTTCACCTTTGCTTTTAGTGAGTCACTCTTTATACTGATCTGTCCGAGCCAGTGCAACTTGACGTCTTGCATAGTTGTTCTTCTCACGAAAAATTTTATGGTCATCAACAGACTTTGATTTTTGCCATTGCTTGTATGCAACTTTCTTTTCAGCTATTGCATTTTGTACACTGTCATTCCACCACCAAGTGTCACGTTCATGCTGACGTTTTGTACCAGTTTTCCCAAAAACTGTAGTTGCAGCGTTCATCAAAACGGTTTTGTATGTACTCCAATCTGTACTGGCTTGCGATTGGTGGTCTAACTGTGTGGCGACAATCTGTTGAAATTTTTCTCGATGAACATTGCTTTTCAGCTTCCACGTTTTGATTCTCTGAGACATTTGTTTAGACTTATGTTTTGACAGTTCGACAACCAGGTCTGCCACAAGGAGTCTATGTTGGGCGACACATGATTTGCCAGGTATAACTTTGACATTTTTGAATAGCCTTCTGTGTGGTTACTTGACTGCGAAGAAATCAATTTGCGTGGCTGATGGTCCACTTTTGTATGTTATGAGATGTTCCTACCTCTTTCTAAAATATGTGTTCAGCAAACAAAACCCGTGACTTTCAGCAAACTCAAGGATGCGGTCGCCATCTTCATTCCGTTTTCCATAGCCAAAACCGCCATGTACGTTGTCAAAACCATCTGTTTTCTCTCCAACGTGGCCATTGAGATCGCCTCCAATCAGGATTGTTTCAGATTTTGGTATTGTTGAGATGGTGTCAGAGAATGTAGCCCAAAAGTCATTCTTCATCTCTTCTGATTCGCCTGTCTGTGGTGCGTATGCAGAAAAAATAACCATTTTTTGCTTTTCTATGCGAAGCTTGATCCACATGAGACGTGAATTAATCCTTTTAATATCCAATACTTCTTGGGCTAGCGGTTCTCTGACAAAAATTCCAACACCATTTTTGGCCGTCTTTTGACCATTCCAGAATAGTTTATATTTTTCTTTGTCTGAGTTGACATGACAGACACCATTCGATTCCATCGGGTTTCCTGAAGGCAGCTGATGTCAATCCTACGCTCGACCATTTCTGCGATTTCCATGCTGCGGCCAGTCAGTGATCCAACATTGAGCGTTCCAAGTCTAAGTACCATAGAGGGGCCATTCTGAATTTTTCTGCAACATCCCTCCGCTATTGCATACTTCCCAGAGATTCTTGGCACCCCTTGACCACTTAAGGCCTGCTGGAGACTAGGGGCCGTTGTTTTTCTTTGTGATGGCATAGGAATAATTTGGGGAAAAGTTTTACATCCGGACACCCATCCTGACGACAACCACCAGTTATAAGCGGTGGGCCTAGCCTTTCGCTCAAAAGCACGCATGGCAGCTTGGATGCAGTTTTATGTCGTACCCAGGACCAATTATCTGGCAATGATCCTGACATTAACTTTCTAAACTTACTTAATAATTCCTGTAATTATGTCAATGTTGATGAAACCTTTAATTATGTTGATAATTCATTTTCATTGCTGCACTTGAATTGTTGTAGTTTAATTAATAAAATGTCGGAACTAGGTACTTTAATTGTTAGTTGTAATCATTGTTTCTCTGTTATTTGTGCAAGTGAGACATGGCTCAGTGATGCTAATGCTAATTTGATTGATTTACCTGGTTTTGATTTTGTATTTAAAAATCGTAATAATAATAAGGTTGGTGGAGATGTTGGATTGTTTATACCTTCTAACCTCAGATATGTCATTTGTGATGATTTATACTTTCATTCCACATCATTTGAGTTAATAGTGGTTGAAATTGTTAATATTAATTCTAACAATTATTTGGTTTATGTTATTTATCGTCCTCCAAATAGTAATGTTACATTTATTGATTTAAACACCTTATTTTTTATAAATAAAAAAAAATGTCTAATTATAATGTTTATATTATTGGTGATTTCAATATAAACATAGATAAAAACTTTTGTAACAACTTTTGTACTCAATTTATTAATGTAATGTCCTCATTTTGTTTGTTTCCTCTGATAAAGTTCGTTCAGATAAAGGTATGTTGCCCATGGTAAGACCGGACTCGTTAATACTTACTAGAGATTTGCTGAAATCCAATCTTTCTTTAATTTGATAAACGGAGAAAACCTTATAAAACTCTTCAAAACTCGATAAAACACTGTAAAACATTGTAAGAGTCTATAAAAAAATGTAAAATTGAGTTTTACAGCTTCACAGGATTTTACCCTAACTCTTAAGGGTTCTATCCTAACCCTTGAGGGTTCTACCCTAACCCTGAGGGTTCTACCCTAACCTTTAGGGGCTTTACTGGGTTCATAGAATTGTACATTTTATAGAGTTTCATAGAGTTATACAGAGTTCTATAGGATTTATCGAGTTTGTTAGAGTGAGTTTGTTTGTCAGCAACTGTAAATATCAAACTTTTAAGAAACAATGTCATATTCGACAACTATATTTCAAGCAGAGTGAGTTCTACAGAGTTGAATTGAGTATTATAAATTTTTAAAGAGTTTAATGATTTTAATATTTTTTTTTTTAAATATTTTTTTTATTTTTCACAACAACAATGATGACAACAACAATGACAACAACAACAATTTCGTAACACAACAATGATGAGATGTAATAAGTTTATACATTACAAATATTAAGGTAGCATTTAATGTGGTTAGTTTTCACCAGGATAAGTCCTAACATTGAACCACGTTCTTACTTACATTAATTCAACGTTCAAATCATTTGCAAACATTTTTAACAGCAAAAACTTATTTTAAGTTAGAGAACAACCGGCTACTGCTTATAATGTACGATTTATTAGCAAAAAAGAATATAAAAATAATGAATTATGTAAAGAAATAAATAATAAAGAAACGTGAAATCTGAAAATGTTGTGCTTTTTTCACTTAATTACTCTCAAGTTTCAAATATTTACAAAAAGTGCAATGAGTAAAATTTTTCGATGCAATGTAAGAAATAATTGAATAAATAAATAAATAAACTGATTAAATCATTTAAATTAATAAATAAAATGAAATAATAAATGTAAACAATAAATTTTAACAACAAATAAATTTTAATAGAAAGAAAGGTTTCTTAAATTTTTCAAACAGTGTTATTGAAAAAGACTTTACTACATTTGTTGAATTTTATTTTTTCAGGAAGCTTACAAAGCAGTGGAAGACATACACAGTCTTATAATTATTTCTAAGAAGCAGCCAAAACCGTCATTGCTGGCTAATTACTATCACAAACTTGCTTTGGTTCTCTACAAATCTGGAAATGCGATGTTTCATGCTTGCACCTGGCACAAACTGTACCATTTACACAGAGAACAGAGGAAGAATATGACTGAGAGTGATCTTCAAAAGTAGCTAAAGACTGAAATATTTTACTGAAATGATAAAAATTGTTTTATTGAATAGATGTTTCGATTATATATTCTAGAATGTTCAATGTTATTTGGCAGGTTGGCTTCAAGAGTTGTCTGCGCCACACTGGCCATACCACTTCCATCAGTAAGGAATCAAAGCGATCACATCATTGATGTGGATGACAATGGACATGAAAAACAAAAAAAACTTTCAAGTCTTCTTTCACTCAACGTTCCACCAAATAGGAATGGGCTCATCAAGGATTTGGTAATCTGCATGACATTTCACTTGTATATATATAAATATATTTTTTTATTTATTTATTTATTAGCGCAGAGTGATCAGAAGTTATTTCTAACATGTATGATTTCTGTAAAAACACATAGAATGTAACAAATAAATAAAAAGAGAAATGATAGCAGTGTCTCACAATTAATGTTTAGTGCATAATGTAGACATGTTAAATATACATATGTATGCATACACATGAATATACACATAGGCTTACACACTGTGCATATGTATATATACATACATGTATATATATATATATATATATATATATATATATATATATATACACACATAGACTATACACAGATGATACAATAAGCATAAAACTATAAGTTAGGTGTAGGTTAAGAACATTAATTCTAGTACTTTTGATAATGATGATAGTTAAAATAAGTTACACATGAGAATGAAATAAAAGTAAATAACAGACACCATTTAAAATTAATAGTAAAGATATCAATCGTAAATGGGAAATTGTTAAGATTAATGACAATCTTAGGCCCAATAAGAAAGCAATATTTGATATTGAGATTGTTAACGCTAGTCTGGTCAATTTTTATATGCAGATTTGAGTAAGTGAACTGAGGTGTCAATATTAATACTATTTAAAAGAATAAAAGTATCATCGACAAAGACTATTAATTTTAGAATAGAAGAAGGGTTTATACAAACATTAAAGTAATGACCCTTGTGGAACTTCCATGTCAGAACTGATGTTGTTAACTAGGATGTACAGGTAACAATCAGTGAGAAAGCTTTCAAACCAGTTTAGAGCATGATGTCAAATTCTATAGTGCTCGTGTTTGGTGAATAAAATATTGTGGTTTAGGGAATCGAAGGCTCGAATACATTCCTGGTGATCATTTTTTTTCTATAAAGGCTATTCAGTAGACTATGTCAAGAGCAGCATCTTCACTAGATTAACTCTTCCTGAAGCCGCACTTGGAGTTGGATATGAGATAATTGGCATCTTAAAAACAGTTCAGAAGTTGAAATTTTTTGAGCAATTTAGATGGAGCAGAAATATAAGATATGGTCAGTGGTTGTTAATGTCCATTTTACATATTTTTTTGAAAAGTGGGCTATCCTTGGAAGTTTTTAGACCAAATTTCAGAGAAAGGATAACAAGATAGATCGGATGAGTGCTGATGTTTGGATAATTTTTTCAGGATGAAGTTGGAAGTAAAGTAGTAGGGTTGGAACATGGCTAGGAGAATTGAGAAGTAGAAGAAAAATTAAGCAATGTTGAAAATGTTGTAATTTGCTTGAATAATTGTATAAGTGAAGACCTTAAATTTGTTTTATTTTTGCTTAGTGATTATTATTTTTAGAGACTTAATTTTTTTTGCCTCGGTTGAGACAAAATTCAAATGTCGAATATCAGATCAAATTTTATTTTTTACTTGAAAAATTTTAATTTATTATTTTACTTATTAACTTTTCAGGCAAAATACAATATCATATCGCATGTTTATGCTGAACTGGGTAACTTCTACAATTTAATGGAAGTTGACTTTCAACCTCTCACACTTTATCCCCAAGTTTTGAGTTGTTTAAATTTTATGTCCAAGAAAGAAGATCTCTGCCAATATGTTCCAGCCATACAGGAAGTCGTCACTATTAAATTCATCAACCAGGTTTAACCTTACTTTATTTTTATTGGAAATTTTAATACAGTTCACTTCATGTTTGAGTTTTTATAATATACATTAATGAATAGCATAGCATAAATAGTGTCCTGGTTATGACATTAAACTGACCCTCACTGCCTTGTGAGTGATGTTGGATCATCAAAGGCTAGGCCCACCGCTTATAATTGTGGTTGCGTAAGGAAGGGCGTCCTGCGTAAAAATTAGCCAAATAAATTACTTATGATGGAATGGCGTCGAGGGGTATTTCGGTTTCATCATAGGTAGCCAAACGGCAACCCCCGATCTCGGGGAAAATGTCGTCTAAACGTGTGTTGTAAATAGCATAAAATTTTATATTATTTTTTTTATATGCCGACGATTTTAAAATATTTAGCCCGTTATCAAATACGTGTCAACTGTCTGATTGCTCAAAGTGATGTCGGCAATAGCAGCATGGAAGTTAGAACAAATTCCAGATCACTGGAAACAGGCACTAATAATTCCCATCCATAAAAAAGTTGATAAAATGGATTGTAGTAATTCAATAGGCATCGGCCTATTGAGTGTAACTGGCAAAGCTTTCACGCGGGTAATTCTGAACAAAATAACGTATAAATTCGACAGACAACTGAAAGAACATCAATGAGGTTTTATAAAAAAAAAAGTTGCTCTGCTCAGATTTTTTCTGCTTCAGCTAATTAAAAAGTGTTTAAAATACAGTAAAAAAAACTAATTATGTGTTTTGTAGATTTCGCCCAAGCCTATAACTCCATATGGAGAGAGAGCATGAATGATCTTAGAAGGATATGGAATTGATGAAAAAATTATAAGACTAATAGATGGTTTATACAGTGGTTGAGCCGTGCATCAAGATTAAACTAGTTTCAGACAAGGATGTATTCTGTTACCGACCCTCTTCAACATAGTTTTGGATTATAAACTAATAAAAGTGAATCATTTAAAAATGGTTAGGTGACATCTTTTTCCTCATGTTGTCAGGATTTGGGATATGCAGATGATACTTGTCAAGTCTCGTTTGATAAATTAAAAATAAGGTTGAACATCTGGCTGAAGAAAGCAAAAAACTTGGGCTAAAGTTTTGTGAAAATATGGAGTTGCAAAGGGAAGATCCCGGTTGAAACTTGAAAAGCTGGCTCAGGATAGAGATTGTTGGAGAGATGTTGTGAGGAAATCAGAGGTTGCACACAGCTGATGGATGATGATATCAAATAGAGAGGATGGTGTTGTGTTACAAAATTGTTTAAACAACATAATGCTGTGGTTCAGAGGTTGAGGTTCAATGTCAACATCAGTAAATGCAGCTTGTTGACGGTGGGCAGATGTTTATCCACACTTACAGATTATGTACTAACCAATGTAAATGCTGTTTCTCATATATTACTCAAGGAAAAGTGTATTTTGAGTCTCAATGTGATCATTCTCAATTTAACGATCATGTCATATCGTAGATAAAGAAAACTTAATGTTTGGAATTCTGACAAGAAACTTCAATTGTCTACCTAATGATGCCTTGTCTGCCTCTTGGCTGGAGTTTGGCGTTCAAGTTTTGTATCCATATAAAAAAGGATTGTTTAAAGATGTTGAAAAGTCTAGAGGAAAGATATGAAAATAAAAAAATGTAAAAATTTGGACTACAAATCCAGATTAATGAAACTTGTGTTTCTTAAGACTGATGGGACCTGATTCTAAGCTTATCAGATAGTTCACAACTTGGTGGGTCCAATGATTTGCCCAGTTTTGAACTGTCTATCAGCCTATGCACTACCTACACTAACTCTTGAGACTTTTATTTATTTTATTTCTAGCTGTTTTGTTTTTTACATTACTTTGCATCGCATATTACTTGCTATTCTGTATGTTCTATCTTGTCCTCGCATATTTATCTTGAAAGCAACATGCTATTCACAACTTCACTACAAAACAGTTTTGTAAATATTTTTTCTTATCTTAGTAACAACTAAATTTTAGTCTGCGATAAGAACCAAGAAAAATAAAAGATGTTCATTAACATGGTAACTTGAATTGTGACGTCCTAACAATTTTAAAATAGGATTTAGAATATTTTTCTGTTGAGGAATAATTGACTAATTACATTATTAATAATTTTTGCCCCAAAATATGTATACGTCATTTAATTTTGCCGAGTTCTAATTAATCTTAATTGAATCAACCTGTTTTGTTTCATCTTGTTTTTAACTTGTTATTATTATTTTTAACTTGTTATTATTTATTACTGTCGCAGATGTCGCAAGTGTACCAGACTGTATCCTTCAGTCATCTCTTTTTTTTGATGCCATTTGGAGACACTTTTGCTCTGGAGAAGTGTGTGGTGGAGGCTGCCAAGCATTTGAATTTGCAGGTGATTCATTCGTCTTAAACTTTTAAATCGACATCATTTTTCAAATTTTGCGTTGTGTTGTGTGTGTGTGTGCGCTAGAAATTTATATTTAATATTTGCATAGGTGAAAATCAATCACAAAGATAATTCTGTGAGTTTTGGGACAGATTATGATTTGTCGCATGACGATGTGGTAGAAGGACCTCACTTGCAGAGTATGCCTAGTGAACTTATGAGGAATCAATTGATTAACATGGCAAAAGTTTTGGACCAAACAATGGCTGTGATAGAACCGAAATATGTAATGGTACGTTAATTCTTCAATGTGAATAAACTCGAATTTGGAGAATAAATAAAATTTTAATTTGGTCTTTACACAGATTTATGTTCCATTTTCTTTTCATTAAAATATGTTTTAGGAATCAAGAAGCATTTTGAGACAACAAATAATGCAAGCATACAAGCAGTCCTTCAAGAAGGATCACTTTCATATGCTGCAGAGAAGACAAATCATTGAAGACAGAAAGGAAGAGTTGGAAAGTCTAAACGTTCAAAGAGTAAATTGTTTTTAGCAATTTAAAAAATTTGGATTGATTTGATTTAATTGCTGCAACATTTGATGAAAACTAATTTAAAAGGAGAAAGAAGAGCAGGAAATGGCTGAGGAGCAGAGAAGAAGGCAGTATGAAGCTGAGATGGCTCGTCTAACTAGGGAAGCTGACGAGCGAGAAAAACAAAGACGACTAGATGAACATAGAGATATACAGAAAAAATTTGTTCGTGAAAGACTGGAACAGATCAAGAGTACTAGTTTGGGAGCAAAAGCTTTTGCAGATTTGAGTGAAGATGTGAGTTTCATTTCATGTTGATTTCTTTTGATTGAGAATTAGCTCGTTATTTTCAAGTTTCATTAGCACTAATGTTTAAGAACATCTACAAGAGCACTTAGAACATTATCTTTGTTTTCTATTCATTATTCAACTTTCTTAATTCTTTATTTCATCTCCTTTTTCTGATGGTGTACAATTTTGGGTTTTATAATTCTGTCAACTCTGCACTGTTCCTAATCCAGTGCATTTATTGCAAGTTTTGCTTTTTTCAATATTTTTAAAGTTATTTATGATAACCACATTTTATGTCTTGATGTACTCATTTGCATGTTTACCTTTTTGTGCTTTTCTAAAGTTTTTGAAGGCTTAAAGTTTGAATTTTTTATGCTATCAAGGTTGCCAACTTAATGCAAAAAGTTGGTCAGTCTTTAAAACTAGTCAATCTCAATTATAAATTCTCTTTCACGACACTTGAATGGCGCTATAAATTTTATGAAATAATTATGTTTATAAATTTTTGACAATATATTGTATAAGATTATGCATGTATGTATAATAATGAAAATGTTAATTTTTAGGCTCTTGCAAATATGGACATGGATGATATTCTGGCAAAGCAAGTTGAGCAGTTAGAAAAAGAAAAAAAAGAAAAGGATGAAAAACTGAAGGCTCAAGAAAAAAAAGTTAATTTAATTTTCAAATTTATTCCTTAAAGATAATCTTTACTTGTCACACGTTTCTGCAATTTTAATGAGATTGCATTCTAAATATTTGTTTGTTAGTTTTAAGAACAAATATGCTAAGTTGAATGCATTATGTCAGTATTTTATTAGATTTTAGAAATTTAAACGTCAGATAAAAGATAGTTGTTTTTAAAAAATGTTAGGAGATGCTACTAAAAAAATGGTTGATTAGTATTTAATTTCTTATTGGATATTCATATATAATAACAATATCATTATTTTGTGGAAATTAAAATTTTTTTCCAAGATTGATTATTTTGAAAGAGCTAAATGCTTGGAGGAAATTCCTCTGCTGTTGAAGAAGTATGATGAGGATAAAGTCTTGCTGAAGAATTTTTGGGAAGAAACTGAGAAAGAAAAGGTTACGAATAAACACCTGCATTTTGTTATTATTTTAATATGCTCATTTTGATACAATATAAAAATTTTGTCTCAAGGGATACAAAATACTGCCCAAAATTAGTAAAATTAGAACGTCATAACAAGATCTTTCTTGATTCACGTTTTTTTAAGCTAGTTAGGTGACATTAAAATTTTATGGAAGCACATGCTTTATGACTCAAGGCTTGTCAACAATGACGGCACAAGACCTCAATTTGATGTGTGCAAGGTTTATTTGCTGTTGTTCATAAGTGGCGTGAAAAGATATAAAAAAAAATAATAGTTTAATTAGCAACCGTCAAGTTTTTACCTTTAAATTAATAAAAAAGGTATAAATTAAAAATAGAAACTTGAAATGTCATTAATAATCAAACGGTCATTGGAAAAAAGTCAAAAAATTAATAGAACAGAAAAATTTGCTTTTAACTATACTGAAATTCCTAATAATAGTTTCGTAATTCATGCCAGAAGCTGCATCATAACCTTTATAATTAAACCCAGCTTTCTTCTTAGTTATTCTCTTATTTTTGAATTACTTTGATGGATTTCAACTGCTTTTTTCAACTAACCGACAAGCATCAGTAAAACATTTATAAAATTTAGTCTACCAGTATTGTTCAATTAATCTGTTTACAGAAGGGACGAAAATATTTGAATGAATCTCTATTGCTGATTAGTTTGACGTGTGATAATATTTCATACCAGAAAGACGTGCAGTGAAAATGAATTCTAGACTAACCACATTGTGTAAAAGTGATTCACATCACTTTATGAGATTGGTCCGTTAAATTTGTCAAGTTTTCTTGACAGTTAACAACATCATCAATTTCCATGAAAGTCATTAACATGGATAGTAGTGTACAAGCTGCTTATCTATCACTTCACACGTTCTTGTAACACACTGGCCGTGGTGAATCATCACAATGAAATGAAAATGTATTAAATTGAACTGAAAAAATATTAGCAAAATTTTCAGACAAAGTATTTAAAAAAAAAATCAATTTTTGAGTTTACAATTTTCAAAGTAAAAGCCATATAAACAAAACTTTAAAACTTTTAAAGGCTTCTTTGACCACAAGATCCTAGGCATTGACGTCCTTTAAAGATAAGTAAATGTGTAATGCAACAATGATTTCTTTAAGAGATATTTTAATCGAACATAAGTTTTATAACATTAAATTATAGATTAATTTATTTTAGTAATAAAATTCTTTATTGTAACGCAACGTACATAGTATTACTTATTTTGGTATATTTACTGGTTAAGTGGTTTATGGTTCTCATTCTTTTTATTTTCTAAAAAACATCTTTTGAAAATATGGTACAATATAGCTGCAAGTGCTTTTTTAAATGACCCCAGAAATCCAACATGAAAGAATATCAAAATTCTGATCAACGTTTGAAATCAATATGAACGTTAAAACAGTGTATTAAACAAAATTAAAAAAAGATTAGTTAGATAATAACAAGGAAATGGAAACAAGATATTAAAAAAATACAAAAAAAACAAGTACATAAGAAAAACACAAGACTAGCAATTGTCAGACACTTTACAATTGTGTTTGGATATTTTTTAATTGCAGATCAAAGAAATGATCAAAGAAAGAGAGCTAGCCTTGAGCCAAAGAAGTCGACTTCTTAGAATAAAACCTGATCAGGAAGAGTTTGTTGCTAGGCTGAAGTCGGAAAGAAAAAATATTTTCAAGGTATAATTATTTCTTTTACATTTCTTGATATTCTGTAGAATTTATAACTTCTTATTTACCTAATACAATTTTTGCTCAGGAGAAATTAATGGAATTTGAGAAACATTTCTTGGAAGAGAAGAAAAAGTGTCTTCTTGAGAGGAAACAGAAAAGGAAAGAAGAACGAATGAGACTTTGGGCTCTGGAAAAAGAGGAAGCCATTCAAAGAAAAAAGGATGAAGAGCTGAAACAACGTGAGTCAACGACATTATTTCATTCAATGCTTTAAATTAGTGTTAATGTTAGAAAAAACATTTATTTTAAATAATTTTAATGTTCTTGGTGAGCGAATTTTCACTCTCAGTTGTGGTATAGGAATAATAACAGTATTATGATTATGATATGAATAATAGTATGATGTAAGTTTGTGTGTGTGTGTGTGTGTGTGTGTGTGTGTGTGTGTGTGTGTGTGTGTGTGTGTGTGTGTGTGTGTGTGTGTGTGTGTGTGTGTGAAGTTTCCAGTGGTTTGTGGACTATATTGTTGGTAATCTCGGAGACGGCAAAGTGGTTTTTCCAGCAATATTTATTTATAGTCAACAGTTTAAAGAGACTCATAAGCTCCAACCGCGGTGCAACTAATAAACTAAATACAGCCTGCATGTTCGTTGGTTAGCAACCGTATAATGTAAACAGCCGAAATACTAAAAAAGGAAAACTGTTTTTTGAGTAATTATTTTTAAAATGTTATTGAATTTAAAAAAAAAAAACAAAACAAAAATGTAAAACGCTTGACAATGCAATCTGCCATTTCTAATCAAAATCTAACCTGAATTTTATGCTTTGTACCCGTTGAGAAATGTTATAGTTCAATTTCTAAAACTAAATAGATCTATCCGCCGATTATGAAGTAAAAATTTTAAAAAAATAAACGGTTTTTTGAAGAATTTTTATTTTTTAATTGTTAATGACTTTAAAATTGAAAAATATGAATGAAAAGCGTTTAACAAAAAAAAAAGAATAATTTATACAACATAATATATACGGATGAGCTCAAGAGCTCTTTAGAACCGCTCGTCGCGGTCTCTGGCACCGCGCTGCCACTTAAACTCATTCAGATACGATGAGACGTGAGCATCGCAGGTGTCATGCATCCGTTTAAATTTATCTTTGGCACATTTCCAAAGATTTTCTATGCCATTTGTGTGAACTCCAGTTGGAGCCACAAACCCATATCTGTGATTCACACTATTGTGCGGCAATCCTGTTGTCTGACTTAGACTATTGTAAGCAGCCCAGCGATCTGACCACACAGTTGTTCCTGTTTGATAAGTTAGCAATAAAATATATTTGTCAACACAAAATTGAGAAAAATTACCAGGCAGTATATGGCGTTGCACTATTGGCATAAGCGTTGCTGCGTCCCTTTGTGGCACCTCCACAAGAAACGCTTCTTTTGTATCTTTGTCGATACCTCCAAACACCAACCTTTGCGGAAAGGGCATTGCGTGGCCGTTTCTCGTTTGTTTGGCACACGACACTAGAGATTCATCAATCTGGACTACGTTTCCTGGCCCAGGCCCACCTATTCTCACTGGGTTATCCCTGATCCACTCTGTGCACAACTCTCGGTGGAAATTAAACCAGGCAAAGTTTTGCTGCTATCTATTTGCAGCAGACTTGCAACTGTTGCCTGACTGATATCTCCCATACTCCAGTAGTATGTCAACTGAAACAAGCGAAAAGAATTGAACAAAACGTAAATTTAAATAGGTTCTTTTTTGAAAAAAAAATCACAATAGTAATTTTAAAAAATTCTTACCATAATGCACTGGTCTAATTTGAGACGGCTTTTCCCATAAAAGCTGCCGCTTCTTATCGTTTTTGTTTTGCCGCAACCAGTAGTGTTGGTGCAGCGCCAAATTTTACCATCGCAGGCTTTATGGTCTTGTAATTTCATTACACGACCACAAACGCAAGTCATGCGTGACGCAAGCAACCCGTGTTGCATTGCCCAATTGATTGCATCGTTTGTATCACGAATTCTATACATTAATTGGAAAGACGAAACGCCATGCAAAACAGGATAATTCATTTTTTTTGTTTAGACGCGACAAGAGCAAACGCGGTTTGTTTTAAAAGTGAAACTATATTTTTAACAGATACGTTTAAAATTTTGTTACACATTTTGTAATGTATCATATTTTTATAACTTTTTTTTTTTTATTAGTCTTTATTATTTCAGCTCTGACATACGCAGAACCACTTACAATGTTACTGATATATCATCTATATATCTTTATTATGTTCTTCATATCTTCAACCAATGATATGAAGCAGCCATCTTTTGCCACAAAGGATGTTTGTTTATCCTTTTCACACGACGTACACATGGATTTTATGTGCACGCGCAAGCATATACGCTATCATATACGCTGAGTATATGATAGCCATTGAGATGTTTGACTCACTGCGCATTCGAACCACTGAGCCATCTCGCCAGCCAGCATGCGACAACTTACGTCGTCTACCCATTAACCAACCCCGAAAGGATGGACGGCTGGGTTAACCGGGAGTCGGCTACCCGGATGAACCTGTAGAAACTGCAGAATTCGAACCCGGGTCGTGAAAGTGGTAGACAGACACGCTAACCACTCGGCCACGAGACCCCTATTGAGGTTTTGTGGTTTTTCTAGTCAAAATTGGTTTAAAATTTTTATTTTTTTAGTTTCTATAATTCTAAAATATGTTTTCGGAATTTGACATCTTTTCACAAGCTTACGACTTTGCTTTTATTATTTAGTTTAACTTTTAGTTGTACCGTAGGAGGAGCTTGTGTATTGTTTTTTAAACTGTTGACTATAAATAAATATTGCTGGAAAAACCACAGATTACCTATATTGTTACCGTTTGGTATAGGAAGCATAACAGTATTATTATATAAATAACAGTATGGTGTATTTTTGTGTGTGTGTGAGCGTGAGTTTACGTGTAAGTATTTATCTAACATACGGTTACATTTATAGTTAGAATTTTTTTAGTTAAGAGTGGCCTATCCACAAGTTTATCTTTTTTGGTAATCCTTAGAATAAAAAAAAAATAAACAAAAAGTGAATTAAATCCATTTTTGTTTCAATATTCTTTTTCCGTGTTAATGCTTAAAGAACTTTTTATTTTGAGTAACTATGTTTGTATGTTATATAATTAGTTAGCATTTGTCTTACAAAAAGTAAAGTGATTGAACTGTGAAAAAATATAGATGAACATTGTTTTATTGTCTTTATGATAGCCCGTTATTATATAAATTTTTATGGCAATAATGTTTTTTTTTGCAGAAAGAGAAGAGCAAGAAATGATTGCCCAAGCAAAGAAAGAACAGGAGGGCAAAGAATACAAAGAGAAATTGAGAAAACTTGAAGAGATAGAAGAAAAAAAGAGGCTGAGAGAAATAGAAATTGAAGAAAGAGAACAAAGACGGAAAGAAGAATTTAAAAATAAAGAAAAAATCAGGTATGACTCATTAATTTGTTTGCATTCTTCAATATATGAAATGCATTTTTAAATACTCAAATTTGACTCAACAAAATACCCAAGATGTTTAAGGGTGCTTTATCTTCATTTACCTAAACGCTATTTCCTCCACTTTTTGTGACAAGCATGTACAGAAACATTCGTTGTATTTAATTAAGTCTTATGTCTTATTGGCTAATGTGTTTATTTACCTCTGTTGAAAAGTTCAATGCTGATGTTCTAATTTTCAGAAAAGATGATGGTCCAAGAAGAGATGACGGATGGAGAAGAGATGATGGTCCAAGAAGAGATGATGGTCCAAGAAGAGATGATGGTCCAAGAAGAGATGATGGTCCAAGAAGAGATGACCTTTCAAGAAGAGATGATGGTCTAAGAAAAGATGATGGATGGAGAAGAGATGATCTTCCAAGAAGAGATGATGGTCTAAAAAAAGATGATGGATGGAGAAGAGATGATCTTCCAAGAAGAGATGATGGCCCAAGAAGAGATGATGGATGGAGAAGAGATGATGGTAATAAAAAATCTGACAGTTGGAGAAAAGAACCAAACGATTGGCGCTCCCAAAGGTTGTACATATATGTGTGTATCATCAATTTAAAATCCTAACATTTATTAGATAATATTTGGGATGCATTGGGTGCTGCACAATTTTGCATAACCTTAACCACCTGTTAATATTTTTGTATCTGATATTTCAAGTCAGATACAACAGTCAATATTACGGTCGGATATATCTGATTATATCTGATATTTCAAGTCAGATACAACAGTCAATATTACGATCGACATTATTAAGATATTTATAAAAGTAACTTTCTTTCAATTCAATTTGTATTCGATCTTTGTGATATCTACTAATAGTTTCTTTAAGCTTCAAATGTTTGGGTTCCTATTTTTCGATAAGAATTGAAAATACATTGCTTTTTGCAAGCCATTAGTCTGAATCTTCAAAATTTAGCAATTTTAGCTTTGAGTGTGGATATGGATATAGGAAAGTATTAAACATTTTTTTAAAGAATTTTTAGCTTAATGGGAGCATATCTTTTGTCCATGAAATGAAACAACGCATTTTTTTGAACATGGAGAAAAATTATCTTGGAAAATGAATCAGAAACATTTAACCTTATTCTTCCAATCTCAAGCATTTTTACAAATATAAAATATTTTTCCATTCAACATTCATCTGTTTCATAACAAATCTATGATAATATTGTTGCTATTAAAGTTGCCTTCCACATTCATTTTCAGTTGTTGTCAATGTGTTAATTCGTCTAAAAAATTTTCGGTTTATGAAAACGTTGTAAAAAAAGTAGTAGCTGATTAATTTTTTTTTACGTTTAAAGGAAGGATGATCTTCCCAAAAAAGAAGATAGTTGGAGAAAAGATGATGGTGGCAGTAAAAAGGGTGACAACTGGCGAAAAGATGCTCCTGATTGGAGAGCGCCAAGGTTATATAATTATTTTTACTAATCCTATAAATGTTTGCTAATGTTAGTGTCAAAATTATTACTCACCATGTGGTGGTTGCTCTTGATGGTATAGTGTGATGTTTGCTTTTAACGAGGTGCTTCTTTTCCATTTAGCATACTATATTTTATAAAACTTTTTTTAAATATTTATTAACTTTATTAGTTAATCTTGTATTGAAAATATTTTTAGAGATGTTTCGTTTACGATCAGTGAAAATGTTATAAATGTGTATATACGTTATTAAATCGGTCCAAGGAAGAGTGCTATTGGTGCAATTTTAATTGTTTGACA